TATTGCGCGGTTGGCTGGTAGACTACAGATCTCTATCATTGGACAAATTTATATCGTTTCTACCRTATATCATTTATATCGCACATTCAACTCCACATCAATTACTTTTATTATCATCAACTTTGTGTACTGCCTACTGTGTAAAAATGACTCTAGTAAGTGTGCAAACCAGAAAGATTATTTACTTGACATTATTTACAGTTGTTTTTTTAAATCTTATTTTACCTAGTCTCATTTTTATGTAGTCAATTTTGGAGCATTTATTAAAACCACACTTTCCCTTTTCAAAGGTATATACGGACATGTTAACAGTCACAGGAAATCTTAATTTAACCCCTACCAACAAATCTTCCTTCTGTTACTTGTTACTCATTTAGGTTTTGTGTGTGCAAATATATTAGTGTTGTGCATTGAATTGGGAATATGTTTTTATGTGGAGAATGTCCTGAAAGGATGTACTACACAAGATTTTACTTATTTGGATCATAAAAAATGTGTATGGTTGCTATTTTTTTTTTTTTCAGTGTTATAATACGTGAATGACTCACTCCACAGTCTTTGTGGGAAACGCTGTAGTAACACTGACAAATTTTGTAATACAATAAATGTAAATTTACAAGACTTCTACCAAGAGTTATGTTGTATGTGTTTGTATTATTAATACATCTTGCACTTACAGAATGAATTGTATGTTTTCAGGACAACTCACGAGTTCTTATTTGGGGCCTTGGCTGAACTTGTGGACAATTCAAGGTAATGCACATCTATTTAAAACAGGATATACTGACAAGTAATTAAGCCTGCATAACATAAAATGCACAGAAATATTTTTATAGGAAGTTCCACTTCTTCTTTTCTTTTACAGAGATGCTGATGCCACACGAATCGACATCTACACAGGTATATTTAGGAATAATTCACCAATTTCACAGTTTTAAATTTAATATGCTCTGATATTTCTCCTAATCTTTTATGTTTTTGTTATTCTTCCAGAGAAAAGACCAGAGTTGCGTGGTGGTTTTTCACTTTGCTTTTTGGATGATGGCATCGGGATGGACCCACGTAAGTGTGATTTAAATTTTGGAAAATGCTGATGTTATCTTGTTATGTACAGTATTTGTTTTGTTCATAAAACATCTCTTTTTTTATTAGTTGAGGCAACTCATGTGATTCAGTTTGGAAAGTCAAGCAAACGGTCCCCTGAGTCCACCCAGATTGGCCAGTATGGAAATGGATTGAAATCGTGAGTCAAGCAGTGCTTGTGGTGATGTTTATTTGCAGTTGGTACGCTTGTCTTTATGTTGTTACTTTAACTTTGTTGTTTTTCTTGCAGGGGATCAATGCGAATTGGGAAAGACTTCATTTTGTTCACAAAGAAAGAAAATACACTAACTTGCCTTTTCCTGTCAAGAACATTTCATGAAGAGGAAGGACTTGATGAGGTCAGATTAGACTTATTCATACAAAATATGAGCTTTTTGATTTATAATATTAGGTTATGACATGAGCTCGAATACTAATATTTAGATGTTTTCCTTTATTGAGGTTTCATTCTGTTCATAAAATTTGTGAATCTGAATAAGCAATTTGTGTACCTCTGTACATGTACATATCTATTTATTTTATCTCTTTATGCATTTTTTGTTACAGTTTGTGCTATAAGTTTTGCATTTTACACAGAGTTATAAAAACATTCTTCATTTCATTGGGCTCATGCAATACATGCACCCACTTTGTTTATAGAAATACTTTATTAAGAAAAACAACTGGTGTTTCAAACTAAAACACCTAGTTGTGCAAGAAAGTTTCAATATAGAGAAAATTAAAAAGCTAGAAAAATATGCCACCATTTTTTTTTCTCTTTAGTACTTTATGTAAGACCTTTGATCCTCTCACAGGTCATAGTGCCTCTACCCTCATGGGATTTAAAAACCAAGGAGCCCCTGACTTCTGATCCTGAGAAGTATGCAATAGAGACCGAACTCATCTTCAAATACTCGCCTTTTAAAAATGAGCAGCAGCTGATGGAGCAGTTCAGCAAAATAGAAAGTGACAGTGGTATGTTTTTATTTATTTATTTATTTATTTATTTATATATATATATATTTTTGGTGATACATGAAGTCAAGTGTTTACTAAATACATGTTTGGCATCACATTTGTTTTTGTTTACTGAAGGCACTCTTGTGGTCATCTACAACCTAAAGCTGATGGACAATGGAGAACCAGAGCTGGATGTGGAGTCTGATCACCAGGACATACTCATGGCTGGGACACCTGTGGAAGGAGTGTAAGTTTAACTGTTACTCTGTGTGAGTAGAAGAATGATTTGAGTACATGTTGTTACATAAATTGTAATTATGGGTGATTGTGTAGTTACTTATGTTTGTTTTTCTGTTAACAATATATCTGATGAATCACTGGGTAGATTTCAATGAAACTCAGAAATAATCATTGGATGTGCATATAAAACTTGTTAAGTTTTGAAGTCAGCTTTATTCAGGATGGCTGCCGTAGAATATAATTATAACTTAATCATTTCACAGACATGGAGCAAAAATCTGCTGTGATAGTAGCTGAGAGTCAACTGCAACTCATTCTTTTAAGCACTTATAAATTGTGCAAGATTTTCATTAGAAAATTAACTTGTAACTGATTTCACTTGTCAGAAATGTTCTCTTAATACTGCTTTTACCTTACACAGGAAGCCTGAAAGGAGGTCGTTCAGGGCCTACACTGCTGTTCTCTACATTGACCCACGCATGAGGATTTTTATCCAGGGACATAAAGTCAGGACTAAGAGACTGTCCTGCTGTCTTTATAAACCGAGGTAATTTTATAGTAGCTATATATGTCGGTTGACTTGTCTTTTATTTCAATTGTGAGATTTTTACTGCTATTTTATTATTTGAAGGATGTATAAATACACATCAACTCGGTTCAAAACACGTGCCGAACAAGAGGTGAAAAAAGCAGACCACCTTTCAAAAATTGGTAAGTTCTTGTTGTAATCATTAAAGTTTTTTTTCTAAGTTAACTGGACTTGATAATGTTCTATATTTCAGCTGAGGAGAAGGCCAGAGAAGCAGATAGCAAACGTGTTGCGATGGAAGCCAGATTGGGAGATGACTTGTCAAAAGAATCAAGAGTAAGAAAAGCTTCTTTTTTTCCCTCCAAAACTTGACAAATGCAAATGGATTTTTGTGTGGCGCTGGCACAATTTTTGTTTTTATTACTTAAGATATATAACTGTCTTTTTTTTTAGGCAATTCTGAGAAAAGTTCAGGATTCAGCCATGATGCTGCGAAGAGAGGCTGACATAAGAAAAAGAAATCTTGAAGCCAAACAAAAGTATGTTAAAGAACATATATATTTTTCCTAGTATAGTTTTTACTACAAAGCAGTTATTGTGTTTATCTACGTCTGTATTGTGATTCTATATTGAACAGTTGTGTAGATTCTCAGTCATCTAGGACATGGCAATAATAAAAGTTAGATAAAAGGCAACAAAACTTTTTTTAATTCCTTAATAACATTTTACCTTACCCAACTTGTTAAATAATATGTTGATTTTGTAACCAGCACTAAATTAGGTTCTTAGGTGATAGTCATTGTATGTTAGTATTATTTTTCTAACAAAAATATTCTGCGTGAATTTTATTTGTATAAAAAAATTACAACTCCAATCATTTGAATCATAATAAATAGCTTTTTGTCCTCTTTTTTCTTATATTTATTCTTTTCCTCATTCTTGCTTATTTCTCAGAGCATTGAAAGAACCCAAGGACCTAAACTTTATATTTGGACTGAATATAGAACAAAGAGATTTGGATGGGATGTTTGTTTATAACTGCTCTCGCCTCATCAAGTTGTATGAGAAGACGGGGCCTCAGCTCGAGGGAGGCATGTAAGTATACACAAAGAAGAAAATGATCTTACTTTTAATTATAACATCAACTAAAAAGTGTGTTTTTGTGTGTTTCAGGGCCTGTGGGGGTGTAGTTGGAGTTGTAGACGTCCCATATTTGGTCCTGGAGCCTACTCACAACAAACAAGACTTTGCAGATGCTAAAGAGTACCGACACTTACTGAAGGCCATGGGCGAATATTTAGCTCAGTACTGGAAGGATATAAACATTGGTAAGTTTTTATTTTATTTATTTTTTGTTATTAGTTTCACATTTAAAATGTTTGTTTTGATTTATTTATGGAAGTATCATTAGCGAATAAGCAAGGAAAGGATCAAGTCTAAGACCATATTAAATTGACAATAGAGGTTTAAAGACAGCTGCAGTAATGGCAGTTTGGAAAATGCTGTTTCTTTAAGGTAAACTACATAAAAAATAAAAAAAAYGTGTTTATGCAGCTCAAAAAGGTATCGTAAAGTTCTGGGACGAGTTTGGATATTTGTCTGCAAGCTGGTCTGCACCTCCCTCATCAGAGCTGAGATACAAAAGACGTCGTGCAATGGAGATACCACTTACTATTCAGTGCGGTAAGTAACATTAATGTAGTCGTTCACTGTAATACTGTCACAAATTAACATTCTTTTTATTAAATGTTTTAGACAAATGTTTGAAGTGGAGGACGCTGCCTTTCCAGTTAGATGCAGTGGACAAACGCTACCCAGACAGCTGGGTGTGTCTCATGAACCCTGACAGCAGCCAGGACAGGTACAAACACAACTATGTTTGATACGTTTTTCAGGTCTTATCACTGTGTTTTCTGTAATGTTGTTTTGATTTTTGTTTCTACTTTGCTGATGTAGCATTTGTTATTTGTGTTTTTAGATGTGATGCTGCTGAACAGAGGCAGAATCTACCTTGCGGTGTTTTGAAAAAAGACAAACCGACAGCTGACGACAAAAAGAAGGAGTTAGCTGAGAAAATCAAACAGCAGCAGGAGAAACTAGAAGCCTTGGAGGTATTCTTTTTTTTTTCCATCTCTTTTTGTTCCCTTGTGTAAATCAGAGCAATAAATAGGAATTTTTTTTTTTGTATTTCTTCAGAAAACCAGCACAATAAAATCTGCAGAAGATATCAAGAAGTTACCACTCGAGGTCAGCACTAGACCAACGAAGACTTTACAGGTACCGGCTGCTATTGTGACGTCTGTTTACAAATTGTATCAATTTATATTGATAATGTTACTCCAAATACTCTGCCTGTCAAAAACTAAGTTACAAATTGATCTTTCTTTGACAGAAATGAGGAACAACTGCAGTTTTTTAAAGTGTTTCATAAATAAAATTGTTCTAACGGTTGTCATGTTACTTATTCAGACAACTAGGTCTTCAGAACGGACCACAACTCGCCCACGTTCCCCACCCCTACCGGCCCACCTGAAAAATGCCCCCAGCGTTCCTCCAACTCGTACAGCTTCTCAGCGCCCCAGCCGAACGTCTGCGCCCCCAACCCCACCAGCTAAAGTTGAACTGTCCAGAACAAGAGCTGCAGCAAAGCCTCCTCCACCTGCACCAAAGCCAGTTCCCAAAACCCCTGCAAAGGCACCCCCACTCAGCCGCAGCCCACGAGTAAGTCAGAAAGATTTTTGGATGATTTAACTAATTAAAATTTAAGCGGACATGGAAATTGTCAAAATTGTCTTAATGCAGGCCTCCACCAAAGCAGCATCGGTTAAACCAGCACCTGCTGGACAGCGTAAGAGAATAATTGAGCAGGAAAACAGTGAAGAGGAGGAGGAGGAGGAAGAAGAAGAAGAAGAGGAAGAGGAGGAGGAGGAAGAAGAAGAAGAAGAWAGCGAGGAGGAGAATGAAGAAGAACCACAAACAAAGAAACTTAAGATGGCCACAGCAACCAGTAACCGTGGTAAAGTGGTAGAGAAGGCCCCCCCACCCAAACGTGGCAAGCTGGACGAGGTAAACACGCAAAGTAGTTCACGCTCAGCCAAGTATAGGAATCAGTTCTGTTCTGTTTTATAACTATAAAAAATGGGATAATGTGTTACATTAGCATGAGTTCAGTGTCACTTTAGGTTGATTTTAATGCTTTAAATCAGAAATGGAAACAACTTTCTGTAGTATATATAATTTTTTGTGTGCTGACACTATCTCATTCTAAAAAGCAAAAGGAAGTGACCAGATGTTTACATACACAAACCTTTCATATAGAGATTATAAAGTGGTCATATAGACGGTTAATCAGACACTTTGCTATTCCATTTCTTGCTTTTAATCATGTTACAGCAACTAAACTGAGGCTGCACAGACATCTCACTGCTCCCCTTTTACTTTTGCATTTGTTTGCTTCGCCTATAAAAAGAATAAAAGAAAACTTAATGCTTTATATGTATGCATGAAAATTCAAATAACTTTTTTTAGCTTTTTTTTTTCTTTTGAAATAGAAATAACAAAATATCTGAACCAACAGTAGCACATTTTTATACACGAAGCTTAGCAGTGGTAGAAGCTTCTGCAATGAGAAAAGCTTTACTGTTCAGCATTTGATGTAAATATAACACAACATTTGTTTCAGCATCAAAGTGGCACCTGGTGTGAGCATCCTGTGTTCCAGTTGAATGCATTTGTTTTCTTTGGGCGAATTGAAGTTGTGGAGTTTTTATTGTACTGCTCCATAGCAGCGTGCAGCAGTGTGGGTGCATCCAAATGAACAGTCAGATTCCCTCTGCTGTTGACCTTGCAGGTTAAAACACAAACTCAGCCTGAGAAGAAAACAATTTCCACTCCTTTGCGGCAGCCACCAACCACCCCAGCCTCTGTCGCTAAATCTATTTCCACTCCACAGCAAGACGCTAAAGCAAAGGTAGCTTTATGGAGTCTGTCTCTGCTACTTCTGATTAAACCCAGGCTGCATCTACTCACAATCTCTAACAATCAAGAACAACTTGATTCTCGACGTGCATGTGTCAGATTAACATTCTCTCTTTTTAACTCTCTCTGTGTTAGTGGAGCAGTTAGTTTATTCACATGTATCTTTTTTTAGAGAGCATGTTCATTTTATCTATTTTATCAACATCAGTTTGGGATCTTGATTTCCTTCCAAATGTTTTTTTCCAGTTAAATACTCCTGCGTGTGTGGTTGTAATAATTTTTTTGTATTTTCAGGCATCTGAGAAAGAGAAGGAAGCAGAGAACGACATAAAAAATGCTCAGAAAGGTGAGATCGTAGATGGTTGCATCATTGATGTTTCATGTGGGAAAGGACATTTTTTTAATTAGTTTTGTTTATATTTTCACAGATAAGGGTTTGCTGGTTGAAGTACGTGTCAACAAAGAATGGTTCACTGGCAAAGTCATTGCTGTGGAGACGAACAAACAGAGTGTTCGTTGGAAAGTTAAGTTCGATTACGTTCCCCGATCAACTCCCAAAGACCGGTGGTAAGATTTATTTATTTATTTGTTTTACCGTTATTTTGTTTACGTGACATAAAACTGTTATTTTTGTCTATGTTAAGGGTGTTTAAGGGGAGTGATGAAGTACGGTTGATGCGGCCACCGTCCCCCATCTCTCAGACGCCTGATACCCAACAGGAGGTTGAGAAAGGCCCAGCACCCATGGAGCCGGACACGACTCAGCCTGGAACCAGTCGAGAGGTGACTGACAGCCTGGTCGCCATGATGAGGTGAGCTATGGATTGTGCTTGATTTTTTTATTGCCCCAGATCATTTTTAGTGTGAAGTATTCTTCACTTTGTTCTGTTGCCTATTTCCAGGACAATGCTGCGTTATTTCTACCCTCCTGCTTTTCGGATTCCAAAGGACGATGTTAACAGTATGACAGCAGAGGAGTTGGTGGCCTTTCCTTTGGTGAGATACATGATTTTAATGGACTGAAGCTGAATTAGTGAGATAAAAAACTAATACAATATATAATAGTTCACTAAGTATAACTATAGTTGACTTATCCAGTTTATTGTTTCATTGTTGTCTTCATGTTTTTTATTATTATTATTATTCCTCTTTTTAGAAAGAGTATTTTCAACAATATGAATCGGGTCTCCAGTCGTTGTGTAACTCATACCAGAGCAGAGCTGATGCCAGAGCCAAAGCTGTGGAAGAAAAGAACAACAACGCTGAGCTGAAATTGAAGGAGGCCGATGAGAAACTACAGAAACTACGAACAAACATTGTAGCACTTCTGCAAAAAGTGCAAGAGGTGAGACTTTCATTGTGAATAAATGCCTCAACACTTTTTAATCTTCACTCTTGCATGTACAAGGATACACATTTATTTATTTATGTTTTTTTACAATTTTAGGACATCGACATTAACACGGACGATGAACTCGATGCTTACATAGAAGACCTCCTTACCAAAGGTGATTGAAGATGACGTGGAAAAGGAGATGAATATTAAAAACTTGAAGTTTTCAGTCCAGCCACCATGTGCTGATAACTCCCCAAAGACCGATTGGGGTATCAATATTTGGGGGTGCTAACAGTTCTTGTTCCCACCACATGTTTAAATCTTTAGTTTGAGTTGTTTTTTCTTTGTTGATTAGCCTTGTGATCTTTCCTTTTAGTCGTTTTTATATACCTGCTCATAGACTGTATGTTTATCTGTTTAAAATATGTAAACCCAATTCAACTTTGTATTTTTATGTAGGTTAATGTGTGCTTACTTTTTTATATATTCAGCTATCGTGATAAGTTACATTTGCTTTCATTTGGCCCTCTGTCAGTGGAGTATCACACACTTTTAATTTGTAACACTGCAAGTCCCTTTAATAGTTGGACTTAGCTGGTTTGTGCTGTTCATCTCAACAGTAAGTTTTATTTTTGTACACTAAAAACATAACTGTTGCTCTTTATCTTTGTCCAGTTTTGGTTTGTAAACCAAGTTGATCTGTAACTTTAAGTGTGAGATGCCACAATGCAAGCACAAGTGACTTGCCAGGTTTTATCAGTATTGATACTCCTTCGGTTCCTTCTACAATTAGGATGAATGTTTTTTGGGTGAGAAACGTCAAATTTGCTCATTGTAAGTTTGTATGTTCATGATCATTTTGTACCTTCATTCTTCCCTTTTGAAAAAGAAGTTAAACACGCCATAACAATGTTTTATTAAACAGTGCATGCCTAAGATCTTGTTCTAATAAGAGCAAATTGTTCTGTATTTCTGAGAAATCTTAACCTAAAACAATAAACCAGTGCAGCAACACTTTCAAATTTCTGTGTGGTACAATAAATATGGTTTGTGGGGAATATATACCCATATACGAAGTTTAAATATTAAGCTTATTTTTATTATATTTTAATAGAATGACATTTTGTTTATGCCTGCTGAGCATTTTTATTTGCATTGTGTATTTTAGTACCATGTGTGACAATCTGAATATGTAATTCTGTAGATTATTCCAGTCATATTAGGGCAGTTAATTTTGTAGGTATTAAATTGCATTTGGGTTTAAATCATCACTCCTAAAAGTAATGAAATTATTTTCATAGATATTTTTAGTACTGATTTTTGAACAGTAATTTATCTCCTGTATTACATGAAAAGATACCAGAATACAGAAAATGTACACACCAAAGCATAAGTGCTATTTAAACAATCGTGTATCTACTATTTTTAAATACCTACCTTTATCCACATCCTAGCATCTGACGTTAATAAAACAGTAACCGGAAATGAACCTGATGGACTCTTATTTTGGAGTCGAACCTAACCATCTTGTGCAGCTAAGCTAACGTTCGGTAAGCTTGTTAGCTCATTGTTTACATGTGTAAAACTTTAAAAGTTTGACTTTGAAAATTTTCAGTGCTGAAGAACATCAATATTGACATTTTAAGAATCACTGGCTGTAACAAAGACGTTTATTTTTGTTTATATGAAATTGCTTATTTTTGCATCGCATATTCGTCAAAATGCAACAAACGTAAGCTAACAGATAATGTTAAGCCTTTTAATTGTCAGATTGTTGGTTACATTTTGGATCAAATGTGTTAAGTAAGCGGCGAAGATCTTACAAAAGAAATGACAGCAGAGTCAAATGAACTTTGACCCACTTTTATTGTTTACTTATATAAGTCCAAATATGCAATGTTTGTTATTATCATGATCATCAATTAACTTATTAAACAGATTTTTTGTTTTGTTTTGTTTTTACTCTGGGCTTAACATTATAGTGAGAGCAATTTTATGAAAAAAAATCTATAAACATTAAAAGCATTTATAAAATAAAGTACACCATAAAATATACTAAGACATTCTAAATAGTTTAAAAACTTAAAAAGGAATCCTAAGGTTTGTTTGTTTGTTTTCTTATTGTGGCAGGATGAATTGCACCTGCAACACATCACAAATTCATTTGTGATGAAGACGTGTGGGGTAGAAATAAAATTTATTAATGAAAACAAATAATTCACACGAGTAAAGTCAAAAACTAATAATAACATMATTTTATTGACTCTCTTGTATGTGTTCATCAGGCAGGTCTTAAGCCATGTCAGCCCTCCTGAACAGACGTGTAGCTGCAGGCTGCTGCTGCAGGTTGTGGCCTACTGTTTCCCAGTCACTTGTCCACATCAGAACACAGAGTGCAGCTGAACCAGGCACAACTAAAGCTGATGAAGAACACCTCTGGGAGGCAGCAGCAGGTTACCTACCRTTCAGCAGAGCCAGGATAGGACCTTTCTTTCAGGACCAACCGGTTCTGAAGAACCCGTTTCTGGAGGATGCTTTGCTCAAAGGATATCTTAGGAGACATCTGCCTGAGGAGGTACTGTATAGCAGAAACAGAAACTACCCAACAGTGTAGTKATTTTCTGTAAAACTTGAGGGGAAAAGCTTCATAGAGGCAAAGAGCATGATTCTTGTTTCCTTTAAATGTATCCTTACTTAGGCTTAAAGAACATATCATTCCAAGCACGTTTTTTCCAACTTAAGAGACTTCAGTTTCAGATAACTTTACCAGCTTAACTGTTATTTTTATATGTTTAAAGGCAGTTTTCTCAGACTTGAGTGCGTTTGGAGAGCGTTTGGCCAAAGAAGTGGACACATGGGGCAGAGAGTGTGAGGTTAACCCTCCACGGCTGGTGCATTTTGACCCCTGGGGTCGCAGAGTGGACCACATTGTGACTTCCGAGGCCTGGAAGCGTATGAAAGACCTGTCAGCACGAGAAGGACTCGTCGCCATAGGATATGAGAAATTATTTGGGGAGTGGAGGTGGGGGGGTTTGTTGCTCTTTTTATTTTCTGATCAGGCTAAATGTCTTCAGTGCCATATGCAGTTTGTTTGATACGTTCTCTGTCTGTTCCAGCCGTGTTTATCAGATGAGCAAGTTGTACATTTATTCCCCCTCATCTGGTCTGTACAGCTGTCCTCTGGCCATGACTGATGGAGCTGCAAAGGTCATCCAGGTAACTAAAAAAACTCTTKGTGAATTCTTCTATAAACCTGTAAAACAGGGCTATTCAACTGGCAGCCCGCGGGCCAAATCCGGCCCACGAGTGACCAAAGTTCGGCCCGCCAATTGGTTCATTCATCTCTTAAGTCCAAACCCCGGGTTTTCTACTTTAATTACTCTTAAGTTCTTTTAGAAAAACATAGACATGTTTGGTATCTACAGAAATGTCAGACCTTGGCTACAAGCTGGGAAAAACCATTTCTATGCACAGTCAAGACAGTTAAAACTACAAACAAATGAAGATAGAACTATGAAAGTGAAAATAAAATTGGTTTAAAAATTTGGCAAGTCAGAGATGTCACAATATTATTTGTGTCAAATAGGAGGCATTATGTGTTCTTATTATTTTTGATATTGTTGAATTATGACTACTTTTATAGGGTTCTGTATGTTGTATTCATGATTAAATGCAGCAAAATAAACTATTTCAAAGATAACAGATCTTTGTAATACTTGGTTTATTTACATAATAACTTAAATTTCTGGATGTTCGGCTCCTGAGCTGTTGACCTGCAGTAACTGTGGCCCCCGGAAAAATTTAGTTGAATAGCCCTGCTGTAAAATATTAATATTCAGCTCAAACTAGCATACTTATTACTCATTTTTTGATGATGTTTAATTGTGAATTTTGTAAAACTTTGGATCTTTATTGTGTTTATTTATTTATTGTCTAAATTCATCAATAAATACCAATGAAGTCCTAAGTTTGACTTATAAACACTATAGATTTCACTAATGCTGTCAGTAGAGCACAGTTCTGTCCTGTATACCAAGGCTATTCAACTGGCGGCCTGCGGGCCACATCCAGTCTGCAAATGACCAAAATGTGGCCCACCAATTGGTTCATTCATCTCTTAAGTCCAAACCCTGGGTTTTCTACTTTAATTACTCTAAGTTTTTTTTAGTTAGACATAGATGTGTTTGGCMTCTACGGAAACGTCAGAATCTTGGCTAGAAGCTGGTAAAAACATTTCTATGAATATCTAAGACAGGTAAAACTACAAGCAGTTGAAGATAAAATGAAAGTAAAAATAAAATTGGTTTAAATATTTGGCAGTTTAAATGTGTCAAAATAATATTTGTGTTAAATAGGAGGCAGAATGTTTTATTTTTATTTTTGATATGTTTTACTATCACTACATTTATTACATAGGGTTCTGTATGTTGTATTCATGATTAAATGCAGCAAAATAAACTAATTCAAAGGTAACAGATCTTTGTAATACTTGGTTTATTTACAAAATGATTTTTATTGCTGGATGTTCGGCCCCTGTGCTGTTGTCCTGCAGTAACTGTGGCCCCCGGAGCAGTTTAGTTGAATAGCCCTGCTGTATGCCTTAGTTTATATAGTATAGTTTCAGAGTTTATTTGTCAGGTAAGTTATATGAATGACTGCCTGGATGGGTGTGTGTGTGTGTGTGTGTGTGTGTGTGTGTGTGTGTGTGTGTGTGATCATCAGGTGCAATCTCCGTGTCAAATGTCAC